TCAAAATTATCTTTTTCAATCACAAAGACTTCTGTCTCTTTTTCTATATCAAAAATTTTTACATGTAATTTTACCATACCACTGGTTTTTTTAATGCCATTAATAGTTTTTAAATTAGTATTGTTAGAATCAATTGAATTATTGTTATTTATTTTTAATAACTTTGAATTTATTAATGAAACATTTGAACCTGAGTCATATACTCCAAAAATCTCAATATTTTTATTCAACACTAATTTTATTTTTATTAATGGCAGTATTAACAGTTTTTTGGATTAGCATTTTGTAGTTCACATTCTAATTCTGAATTATTGATAAGTTTAATTTGATCATCTTTATTAGTTTGATTATCCTTTGGTTTAAACCAACAAGTTGATTCAAGGTGGTAGCGTGTTCCTTTTTTAAGTTTTTCACAGATGGTACATTTTTGCTTTTGCTCTCTGTCCAATCTTTGTTTGTTTCTAATTTGTTTTTCTTCAATATTTCTTTTATTATGTAAGAAAACTTTTTCACATTCTTTATTTGCTAAGTGTTCATTCTTGTTCAATTCACTGAAAAGGTGAGTAGTTGAAGTCAGTGAATCTTTATCAAGTCTGTTCATGATGTTTTCTGGTAAACCTAACACAATCAGGTTTATAAGTGTGTTATTATCAATTAACTTATTAACTTCTAATAATAATCTTTCTTTTTTTGTGGCATATTCTAATAGAGAACCAACTTGATATTTGAATGTAAAAGCATATTTTATTTGGGACCAACCTTTTTTCTCATAAGTATCACAAAAGTTTGTTTTCCAAGTTTTCCAATCTGATTTCACTGTATATTTAATTAACATACTACCATACCAATCTAAACATTGTTTTTCAAGTAGATGTCTCAAACTTTCTATTTTATCTTCATCATTTAAAATTTCAAACCTTTCACATTCTTTTTCAAATTCTTCCATCCATTGTCTAACATTTGGCATTTTAATGGAGAATTTTTCAATTAAAAACTTTTCTGTTAGCTTCCCCACATTTTGAATATTTGGTAAATCTTCATAGCTAACAGCAGCTGATTGTAGTTTTTCTTCTAAATACTGATCACCAAATTGTAAATTTTCACCTTCATCCAAATAAATCTTCCTTATTTCATCATCTAGTGGGATCCATATATTTCGTTTTTGACCTCTTTTTTTCAATGAGTTTTTTACTTTTGTAAATGAACTGGATCTAGATATGTATGTATGTTTATTTACCTGCTTAAATTCGTCTGGGATATCAAAAATACGACCATCTGGAGTCTCAATTGAGGCAATACAGATTTCATTTGATTTACCGTCTGATGATCCTAGTATTATGAATTGGAATCTCAATTTTTCCATGACCAAAAATGTCGTTTTATAAGGTTCCTTTTGATAATTAGTAACACAACTGAGTTTCTGAAATTAAAGATTTATTAAAACATGTTCTATTTACATTATTTACACAAAATTTTACCTGAAATTAAAGAAACGACATTTAATGTCACTAACTATGAATGTTTTAATATTCCTATCCTAAGCACAAATAATCTCTGACAAAGTGACAAGTTTTTTAAATATAAAGATGACAGAAGTGGTTGTGTCTAATATTCCAGATACTGTGCTCGGTAGAGCGCGGCAATATTTGAATGATGAAATTATAATTTCATTACATATATATATATATATACCACCGAATAGTATTTTTTAAGAAATATTGCTGATATTAGAAACAGTGTTGTTTTTCTAGTTATTTTTTAAATTATGTTGATATCATCATCAACTGATCAAGGTTAACGTATTAAAAATATTTTAATTGCAAACGATTATTAAGAATATATTATTATGTTACATAACATTTATTAGTATTCTGAAGAACAAAGTAAAAATAATCTTTAAATTTTATTGTTAAGTTCTTTTTTATAAGAATATATCGTATTATCACTTATCGCTACATAGAAAATTATATAGCAAAAAAGAAAAATGATAATATTAAAATAGGTAATTTATTTTTTGATTTTTGGCTACAAATAATGCGATGCACTTGAAATACGCCTAAATGCAGAACTTGAATTTTCACATTACAAACGATTGTACAGAGAATACTTCTACATAGACTATATTGGATGAAGTTTGCCTCACATTAGTTGCCAAAATCTTATTCCAGAGATGCAGATGCAGAGATGACAGAGATATCAACTGCGACGTTACTCGCATATCTGGTTGATTACGAGAAAGCGTTTGATCGAGTACAGCACGCCAAGATGATGCAAATACTAAAAGAAGCAGGAGATAACAACCAAGATCTAAAAATAATTAGAAATCTTTACTGGAATCAGACAGCAAATCTCAGAGTTGAAGGTGAACACACTGACTATGTGAAAATCATGCGTGGAGTGAGACAAGGCTGTATTTTGTCTCCTCTAATCTTCAATCTGTATTCTGAAAGAATATTTATCGAAGCTTTGCACGAAACTGTTAAAGATATTCTACTAAATGGTTACCGGCTTAACAACATCAGATATGCAGATGACACCATAGTATTTGCGGATAACTTAGAAGACCTACAAGTTCTTATGAACAAAATCACGTATTACAGTCAACAATATGGACTCAATATAAACGTTAAGAAGACAAAGCTTATGATAATTAGCAAGAAAGGATAACAGAAGGTCAACTCTACGTCAACCAATCTCCTGTAGAAAGAGTGACTCACTACAACTACCTCGGCACCATAATAAATGAAGAATGGACCAACAACCAGGAGATTAGAGCACGCATTGCAAAAGCTAGATCCACCTTCAATCGGATGGGGGCCTTCTTCAAGAGTCACAACCTCTTCTTGATACAAAAGTAAGAATGCTGCGATGCTACGTCTTCTCTGTCCTTTTTTATGGTGTTGAATCGTGGACCTTGAACGAAGATATGTGCAAAAAACTGGAAGCATTGGAGATGTGGCTATATCGGAGAATACTTAAGATCCCGTGGACTGACCGAGTCACAAATGAGGAGGTCCTCTAAATGAGTCAGATAAAATTAAATTATTAGAAGAATTTTTCACTAAGTAGCAAAAAAACACAATTTGTTTACTTTACTAATGTTTAGTTTGTGGGCTTATTTCCATTTAGTAGTAATTACTTTAAAATGCCACAAGAAAATGGCGTTAGAACAGTATTTAAATTTAAAGACATTTTGCATGACGATAATCGGTTAATTAAGTTAACCTATTTTTGTGATATTTTTGACTTCTTAAACAGATTAAATATGATACAACGAGGTAGGAAATGTAACTGTATTTAAAGTACAACAGAAGGTGGAAGCTGCAACAAAAAAACTTAATTTGTGGACACGTCGCGCGAAAGCAGAAAATTACAAAGCTAACAGAACTACGAAAAGAGTAAAACGTGAATTCATTTTCGGATGAAAATTCAACGGCTTTTAAGCAACACCTACTAGAAATGAAAACAAATCTGAAGAAATGGTTTTCCCAAATCCTCGGCAACAAAGCATGGATAAGGAATCCATTTATAATGGATGTAGAATCCGTCACAGAAATTCCGGATTTAAAAAACGAGTCAGTAATTGAACTATTATGTAATAAAGTTCTCAAATACATATTTGACAAAATATCACTGACAGATTTTTGGCTGTCTTGCCGTCAGGTGTACCCAGTGTTAGCAGGAAAAGCGATAAAGTTTCTAATTTATTTTGTTAGTACCTGTTCCAGAAATAAATCATATTGTTTTAAAATAAAATGTAATTCTTTGACTTTTCTTAGTGTAGAATAACTAGAACAGTCACCTTATCAAGTTTGAACGCGACACCCGACTGAGTGGCGTCTGACTCTGACCCTGTTAAATATTTTTCACACCTAAATAAAATAGGGGTAATATTCCCGTTCACGCATTATGTAGTGTTTTATCAGTTCAGTAAGATCAGTTCAGTTGACACATGGCCATCGAGGCATCGCATCGAGTAGTTAAAAACTCGCAATTCACGTATTAAATATTTCTCTTCGCCGAAATCGGGCATTTTCTCATACCGGTGTTTTTCTTTTACGTGTTATAAAGAAAGAGTACATTTGATATTGTATAGTAAGTTACGGCCGTGTTGGGCCTCTCTACTCTTAAAAGATTTAATTATAAATCGATAAACTCAAAAGTGATTTTATTTCTCTGGAGCTATATTTGCTCATATTAAGAATCCTTATCCTTCAACGGTCACTGAAGAACCAAACCTATGGAGATGCATCCATTCACAAGTCCTTTGAAGTAAGGCTTGGAATCCAAAGATTTCCAACTCTTATGTAGGTAGCCAGGTACAAGGCTCCTCAGACCTATAAGTGTGAACCAGGGTTTTCAACATTGGTTTGTCTTAAAAATAAATATAGGAACCATTTTGAAGTCGAACTGGACCTGGGAATAAAATTAACATATTTTCCTCCAAACGGGAAGTTTTTAGTTAACCAGAAACAACTGCATACTTCTCATTAGCTTAAACTAATAATTTTTTATTAAAATATATAAAACTATAACAAACAATAAAATATGTTTTGTTGTAGATATACACACATACATCAGGGTATGCAAAAAATAGTGGGTCACGAAGTATGAGCACAAACATAGCTGATAGCTGAAAAAAGTTTGGGAAACGCTGGTCTAATTGAAAGTTTTCTTACTAGGAAAATGTGCTCACGTACTTACATAAATACATTTTAAAGAACATTTACATTTTCTGTTCTGAACTAGAAATTTAATTTCAATGTAATAAAGATTACAATGTTTTGTACATTTAAAATAATATTTCAGCAATAAAATTTTCGACTACTGACCTGCACTTCATTAATTAAAATTCAGCAATCATTCGAAGATATATTGCCTTACATTTTAATTGTGCATCATCTTATCCCCACTAATAATTTGAATAATCACCCAAAAATTATTCATTTAAATAGAAAATTGGGATTTAATCTGATATTTGTTGCTCGTCATCAAATAAACTCAAACTTAAAATGAAGGTACAAATTGTTTTATTGGCTGGAATAATAGCTGTATGTGTTGCAGCACCACCACCAGAACGAGACTCTAAAATTTTAAGATACGACAGTGATGTTAGAGAAGATGGATATGATTTCGCGTAAGTAAATCACATACCCACCGTAACAGTTTTTTGTTGAAGTAATAGACTTTCAATCTGTATTTTACGAATTATCCTTATATTCGTATAAGATCTATAGACGTTTTTTTATACTTTCTAATAGTTGACAAAAGTTAGTTTAACTTGTGACATAACATTGAATAAAATGTTATGATGATTCTTCTGTAGCTAGATTATTCCTAAGAAATTTAAATTTAACGACAAGATGAATAATATCGCGATAAACATTACCAATGTGTATACCATAACTGTGTTCTGATTTTTTATTTGTCATTTAAATAAATCAATCAATGTCTTTTTCTGGAATAGTCATCCTGAACCAAAATTTTTGTTGTCAAAAACCTAAAATGTTTTGGCAATAATATTCATTTTACTAAGAAAGTCATTGGTAGTGTTAGTGACAAGCAGATGTAACAATCATCATTATCTTCTTCTTCTTATGCCGTCCCCATTAACGGAGGTTGGCGACCACATTTTTAAAAGCTTCTCTGTCTTTTGCAACGTGGAATAATTCGTCTACAGTCATGTTTGTCCAGTCTCGAATATTTCGCAGCCATGACTTCCTCTTTCTACCTATTCCCTTTTTGCCATCGACTCTACCCTGCATGATGACCTGCAGAAGACTATATTTATTATTTCTTAGTATGTGTCCAAGGTATGCAGTCTTGCGTACTTTTATCGTTCTCAACAATTTTTTGACTCGACCCATTCTTCTCAGCACTTCCTCATTGGTGACCCTGGCAGTCCATGGGATTCTCAACATTCTCCGGTATATCCAAAGTTCAAAGGCTTCAATCTTTTTAACTATTTGCGCTTTTAGTGTCCATGTTTCTACCCCGTACAATAATTGCGACCAGACGTAACATTCAACAAACCTCAGTCTCAGCGCAATATTCAGATTTTTGTCACAGAACAATTGTTTGAATTTTAAGAACGCTGCCCTTGCCATTTCTATTCGTACCCGGATCTCTTGGTCTGGATCTAATTCTGTGTTGATGTAAGCTCCCAGATATTTATATTTTGTCACTCTCTCTATTTGCTGTCCACCAAGAGTTAGTTGTTCATTATTTATTGGACTCCTTGATACTATCATAAATTTGGTCTTATCTGTGTTGATGTCAAGTCCCATTTGAATGCATTCACTATTTATTGCATCTAGTAAAGTTTGTAGATCTTTTATACTCTCAGCCATAATTACCGTGTCATCTGCAAATCTCATGGTGTTTATGATTTCTCCACCAATTCTTATTCCCTCTTTTCTTTCCCATAAGGCTTTTCTGAATATGACCTGTTAGTACACGTTGAAAAGCGTCGGAGACAAGACGCATCCTTGCCTAACCCCTCTCGCAATCGGTATATTATTTGTTTCTATATCGTTCACCTTTACTACTGCTTTCTGGTTCCAGTATATAGCCTTAATAAACTCAATGTCTTTTTTATCTAAATTGATGTTTTTTAATTTATCTATTAACTTCATATGCTGCACTTGGTCAAAGGCCTTCCTAAAGCCTATGAAGCATACATATGCACTCTTGTTACATTCCCGACATTTCTGCAAGAGTACCGTCAACGCAAATAATGCCTCTCTTGTACCCATGCCTTCTCTAAAGCCAAACTGAGTTTCATCTATCTGTACCTCACATTTCTTATAAATTCGGTTTTGAACAATTTTCAAAAGAATCTTTACAGGGTGGCACATTAGGCTTATCAATCTATAGTCATTACATGATTTGGGATTGTTGTTTTTTGGTAGAGGTAAAAATATCGATTTATGCCATTCTTCCGGGATGTTGCCCTCTACATATATGTGGTTGAGAATTCGGGTGAGTTTCTTTATATTACCGTCATCTAAGGCTTTTAACAGTTCAACTGGAATTTGATCAGGACCCGGTGCTTTTCCTTGTTTTGCATTATGTAGGGCATTCTTTACTTCTGAGGCTAAAATTTGTAGGTATTGTTTTTCTTCACCTATATCTTGTTCATTTTCTCTCTCGTCATGGAAAAGATGGATTATATATTGTTCCCATACTTCCTTTATTTTGCTCTCTTCAGTAAGTATTTCTCCATTATTATCTCTTGTTATGAGTGTTCTTCTTTGTCTGGTGTTGCCTGTAAGTTCTTTAATTTTTTTATGTAAGTTTGAGGTGTCAGGTTTGTTGCTGAGTTCTTCCAATTCCTGGCATTCTTTGTTCATCCATTCCTCCTTAGCCTTTCGGATTTCATATTTGATTTTATTCTTGATGGTTTTATATTTATTTTCATCTTTATTTTTGAATTTTTTTTTTTTCAGTTATTAGCTTTACTATATCCGGTGTCATCCAGTCTTTTTTAGTTATTTTCTCTTCTTCGCCTAGGACCTCCTTTCCCGCTTTTAGTATGGCTTTTTTCATATCTGCCCATTCAACGCTTCCTTCAGTTAATTTATTTATCTCTGCGTTTAGTTGCTGTTGGCAGTTGTCTTTTTTTAGGTTTTTAATGTTAATTTTGGTGGTTTTAACTTTTTTCTCCGGTTTCCTGAGTTTAATGTTGACGTTTGCTAGTAATAGATTATGATCCGTATCTGCATCTACGCTTGGATAGGTTTTTGCACTTTGTACTCCATTACGAAACCTTTTGTTAATCGTTATAAAATCTATTTGGTTTCTGATTATATTGTTGGTGTTATCTTTTGGAGAAGTCCATGTGTATAATCTTCGTAGGGGTAGGTCGTAGTATGTATTTGTCATGACTAATTCTTTCTCCTGGCAATACTGGACTAGTCTGTCTCCTCTTTCATCTCCTAATCATCATTATGGCTTTATAAATATGCGTTAATCCTAGCTTCATCAAGAATTTTTCTCCAGTCATCTTTTTACATTAGCTTTCTCCGCCAAGCACATACCTATTACCATATTTCTTATATCATCAAGAAACTTTGTTCTAGGTCTTGATCTTTTTCTCTAATCAAAGGGTCTATGAAAGAGCGTTTTTTTAGTTGGGACATTTTGTTCCTTCCACATTACATGACCTACTTACACCAGACTTACACCTCTATCGTAATATTTATTTTACGATTTCTAGTCATTTTTGTAGCCAATTCCTATAGTACTACATACGCCTTTCGTACAGTGTTTTCCGTTTTCCTAACAGAATTGATATTATCTCAGCAGAGGCAAGGATTAGCACTGCTTTGTTATATACTGAACCAGTGTTTATAATTTGTGACATACCACTTACTTTTTTCAGAGTTATATTGAATAGTATACAGGAGAAAGGGTCTCCTTGGCGCAGCCCGTTATTTTTTTAAAACGGTTCAGACAGTTTCCCCTGGATTCGTAATATATATTCAAGTTTTTCAAGAGTAAGTTTTGTTAAATTTACCAATTGATTTGGTACTACTGGTGCTTTCATTGCTTTGAACGTCTGTCTTATATTGACAATAATTTGTCTTAGGGTTGCAATCTTATAAATTGTAGATTCACCACATCTGAAACGAGCAATGTATTTTTCTACTCTTCGTTCTACATATGGTGCGTTATGGTGGTATATAATTGTGGAAAAAATTTATACGCTGAATTTAGAAGCGTAATTCCTTGGTGGTTAGAGCATTCATCTCCGTTATTGTGTATGTGTATGGTGCAAAGTATCCCAATATTCCTTTTACTAGAGAGGACTTTATGTGACCATATTTCTTTTATAAGCTGCTGTAATGCCATTATGGTATCACGGTCACTTTATTTATACAATTCAGCTGAGAAATAATCTATGTCGGGTGATTTGGTTCTGGCTAGTTTTTTAGCTGCCTCTTTAACTTTAAGAATCGTTGGGTTGTTGGTTCATCTTCCCTCTCGTTAATTTTACTTACCTTATCTCTTTGGTCTTCCAGGTTGTTTTCTTCTTCCTTTATGTAAAGTATGTATTTCTGATTAAAGTATTTCACTCATCCCTTCAATACATTTTTCTTTGTTGTTAATAGGTCGCCATACTACGATGGCTTGTAGTTTTCTTAAATATTTTTTTCTGTTGATATTATACAATATTCTTAATTCTTTTTTTTGTTAAGGTTTTCCATATAATAGTTAAATTCCTTATGCTTCCTTAAGCTTTCGTCTTTTTTATGTATCTCTTTTCTTCCCTTCTCTTTGTCTGGTAATTCCCTACAGTTGTTCTAGTTCGTCGAGTATGCATCTTTCTCTAGGTTTTATATTTTTCTTCTGTTACGTTTTTGCATTCCTTGTCAAACCAGTGATTTTTACAGGTCCAATTTTCTATTTAAATTTCACATTTTGATGCTGCTGCAACATCTTTTTTTATTTTGGTCTAGTAGGAGTCTGTATTGCTCTGGCCTTCTTAATTTATATTTTGATTTCTTAGCATATGGGTGATATTTTTAAGCTTTTACACATTCCATTTTTTGCATTGTTCAAACTGTATTTAAAGAATTTCCATTTTACGCGCAAATGGCACATTCTTTGACTGTATGATATAAAGTCAATAATAAAGCATTTTGTTTTTTGGTTTACAACAAATCCCAATCCATCTATCTGTTGACTTGCATTGCAGCTATAATATATGGAATTAGTTCAGTTGTCAAGAGTGTCAGTCACGTCCACCGCATTTCATGCAGTGCTAAATGATCTACTTTTAATTCTATTTTGTATCTGATCTTAGACAGACAACTACACACGGAGGAGAATTGACAATTTTCTAGTAAATTAATTTGGTATGATTGATGACAAATAAATTGTTCTTATTTTCACCACCGTACAGCTGGATGCAATTGGTCCATATATGTTTTGGTTTTTATATATACAAGAGTATTTGGTTAAAGGTGAACTTTGCAATTTGCGTTGTATTTTTAATACCGAATGGTAACCTCTTACATTTTCTTTTTACGTAACTGCAGTTAGTTCAGTTATCAGTGTTATCAACAAAAGTTTGCAGTTCTGATTATTGTGGGGCTGGGCCTAATACACTTACTTGTGATGATTACTATTTAA